TATCTGCTCAATTTAAAAAAAAAAATAAAAAAAGAACGTAATGGATTTTTTATTTATTAATCTTACAGATTTTATTACATTAAACATTTATAGTGGATACTCATATCTGAATAAACTATTTATTTATTAAACAGTATATTATTTCAGTCTCCAGGCTTGAATATTCAAAAAATTCTATAAGAATCTTGCTTAAAAGACACTATTCAGCCTTGTCTGATCAACTAAGTTCTTCATAGATAAGTCAGTCTAGAGCACATTGGATCTAATGATGATTCTCTGCCCAGGGTAGAAGCAGATTTGAAACCTACCAGAGGACATTTTTCTTTACCAAGATCTCTTAAATATTCAGACTGGTAAAAATCCATTACTTTAGAAAATTATATAATTTTCAATAATATCTATGACAGCAAGGAATGACTAATTTTTTTGCGTGCAATAAAATCACAGTCAGCAGGTGAAGGCCTGCAGTGTCATGGACATTTATGTCTCTTACTATTATGTTACAATATAGGTGGCTCATATAAATAGTGTATACACCAACCAAAAATCAAAAAGAGTGGGTGGGGGAAATGTACACATGGTACAACCATTATTACAGGAGTCTTCAAATTTGGTATGCATATTTACTGGACTCAGGGAAACATTAAGTTTTTTTTTTGGTTTTGTATAGGGGAAGTGCTCTTTCTTATACATAAATCTTTCTCTAACAATTACTATTTGTAATATTTCAGTTTAAGGCTATAATTTCTTATATAAGGAAAAAGAAAAGTGTGGTTTGTAAAAGCAATTTCATAAAACAATTTTTACTAAAATATTTAAATTTTCATGGGTTTTGGTTTTATTGGAAATTTACCATGAACAAACAGAATAGATTTTCTTTTAGGCTGCTAATTGCTGCACACATATTGACAGTGTGTGTGTGTGTGTATATATATATATATATATATATACACAAGTTTTAAAGGATGCTGTATTTATGGGTAAGAGTGCATAAGATCAGAGATAGAGCATATGTAAATATAAAAGTGAACACATGTCAGCATCAAGCAGCAACAGTATTTTTTGCTTGACTATCTTTAGGCCATGTCTGAAGACTGTTCAAGCAGGAAATAGACTGTCACAACTCAGTTATCAGTGCATGCACATGTGTTTAGTAAATAATTCAACTATTACTCACTTATGCATAATATTGTAAGTTAGTTCAAGCAAAGAGAATTATAACATCTATGTAATCATGGACCAACTCCTTGGCTTCACATCTCAAAGCAATCATACCAGCTTTCTTACACACACACAGATTTTAATGGAGTGGAGCTCCATTAAAATAATCGAGCCAATCCTTCATAGTTTACAGCACCTTCATTAGGGTTTGGATGAGAATTCCCAAACATCAATCAAGAAGCAAGGGGTCATATTTTACAGATGAATTCTAGGAAAATATGTGTGTGTAAACTATGAAGAACTGGCCAGATGATTTTAATGGAGCCCAGTTAAAAGCTGTGTGTGTGTGTGTGTGTGGAAGATTATATGATTGTTTTGAGATGCAAAGCCAAGGAATTTCTCCATAAAGATTATATGGATGCTGTCATTGAAGTTCAACCAAAGAAAACTCACAATATAACAAAATTACATCCAATGTTTCAGATCCATTCAAAGTAGAGGATTATAACCAAAATGGTAGCACTAAATGACTCATGTGATATGAAGGGAAGATTGTAGGAAAACAAAAAATGAATGACCCTTGAAGTCAACACTGAAATATTCATGAAAGCTATATTATGAGAGTATTCCACAAAAGTCTGTCAGAGTGAAACTTTCTTATATATGGAATTGAAGAAATAAGGGTGATTGATTCATATCCATGGAAGTGGTACACCATGTCCGAGCATTCAATGTCTCATCAGGTGAAAGTAAAGAATGGAGCTAATCTGAATATTAAAGTCAGTCAGTTTCAATGGCAAATTTAATATTACTTTGGACATTTTATGAACTCAAAATATAAAATTCTTTCTACTGATATACATCAAGAGGAAGATTATCAAATTTAAAAGAGAAATATATAGTTAAATTCCCAGATCAATTCTGTAAACAAGACGAATTGGGATAAGATGACAATTGGAAAAAAAATTTAGTTTTCTGCCAATGCATTTCATCTTTCAGCTTTAAGACAAAGATTAAATCAAAAATGTTTTTGTTATAGTTACATTACAAAATCCAAAAAAAAAAAAAAAAAAAAAAAAAAAAAAAAAAAAATACTTCTGTGTAAGCCTCTTTCTGGTTAATGTAAATTTCCTTTATGCTAAGAGTTTTTTTTTTTTTTGTCTTTCCATGTAGTTAAATTCCCAGATCAATCCTGTGGACAAGACAAATTAGTATATGACAATTGGAAAAAAAAAAAAAAAAACTCACTTTTTGCCAATGCATTTCGTCTTGCAACATTTTCAAGGCAAAAATGAAATCTAAATGTTTTTGTTATAGATGATACATTACATTATATAACTAATATTTTTTTCCAATTGTCATCTTATATCAGAGAAAATATATAAAATTAATTACTGTTTTGTTTTTTGTTTTTTTTTTAAATAAAGTTAAACTTTACTTTAATCAATTTTTAAGGATTAATTTACATTTCATCATAACTACATTTGATTTAGTACAGTACAGGTAAATATGGGCAATCAGGAGAAGGAAAGATATTTCAGGTGTAAAGAGCCTTCCTGTTTTGTATAAATATTCAAAAGTATACATATCAAGCAGTGAAATACACAGGGTACAGACAAAATGTGGAGACCAATTCAAATAAAATAATTCCTTATTTCAGAAAAAAAAAAAAAAAAAATTAAATTCTTGTAATAATCCCAAAGAAGATAACAGCTCAATTAAATCAGTGCATAATAATGATAATCCCTCATCTTAGAGCCAAAAAATTCTTAAGATCAAGAGAACAGATCAAATAAATCAGATTATAAAGATAACTTACTAAAAGTTACCAAACTGCATGAATTTAAACATGCTACTAGGTTGATGTCAGTCCCACCCTTTCACTGTCAAAATGGTTAAATGTAGCCATCTCTTCTACTCCAATAGCTTTATGTCTCGCACTTCCTGTCTGGAACTCCCTCTTACTTGCTCCCTTGATAGCTATAATCTCCAACTATTCAAATGCAGAGTTAGTCAACATCTCCAGATGCCTTGATCTATTCCCCATCCTTCTCTTCATCCTTTCCTCTATCACACCTCTTCACTCTTGCTCCCACTCTCTGTAACTCATTATGTGCTTGTGGCACTCCTACCTTGCTTGGGGGTGAGAAAAAAAAAAATCTAAGGTAATATGCAATTAACCTTTATTGCTTACAGATATTTACTTAAGTTCATCTAAGTGTCAAATATAGGGAATTAAAAGGTAGAAAAAATGTATTGTATAAATATTCAGCAAATACTGTTTTGTTTTGTTTAACCTGGGCTTAAGTAACAATCAAAAAGGTCTGTTGAAAATAGGCAATTATCTAGCCAACAAAACAAGGCAAATATATATAGATGATAAAATTAAATACACAATGAAATTATATTTTTTTGACATTTCCAACAACTTTATCTCTTTATAATAATACATGCTAGTTGCTAATTTTAACTGTCAAAAGTTAAAACATTTTTAAAAATCTAACATTTTTGAAATATGTAAAGTACAATGAAAAAAAGTTCAAGGTGTTGATGAAAAATACCTTTGTGCATAAGAAATAGGTTAAGTCAGGTAAAAATATGCACTTGCCTCATTTTCTTCCCTTTACTTTTAATTAACAACAAGCTGCACTGAAAGATCTCCGCCCCCAGTGATTTGTAAGTGCTGGCCAACTGATACAACCGGCAATTGAAAGGAAACGGGCGACCACCTTAATGGCAGGTAGACAAAACATGACACGAAACAACGGTTAAGATACAAAGATTGCAAACACAAGTAAACCAATTACCATGGTAAAAAACCCAAATAAAAACAAAAAAAATTAAGTAAATGTGAATAAAATGCATACTCATAAAAATCAAGGTATTTTTTTTAAGATTTGGAAGAAAAGGTCAAAGTCAAAAATAAACAGACTCCCGATTATTAAATTTGTGACAATTTCTTTCATTTTAATTTCAGTTGCTTTTTATTGAAACTGTGCATATGGTGTAATGGTTAGAGGAAACACAGAAATTGGCAAGCCAAGTTTCATACAAATGCCCTTGGAAAGAGTATGAATTCAACTCTTTTACCCCAGCTATAGGTCAGACTGAACTCTAGCTGCAGCCAGCAACAGTATTGTTAAGTTACAGTGTTTCTCTCCCTTTTGTTGAGATAGCCAGTGAGTAATGTCTGGAGACAAATTGACAAAAGGCAGTCATGATGTAGAACCCAGAGATGAAGTTTTTAACCCATAGTAGTAGGTCTTACAGGAAAAAGCCCATGGCTTAATCAGGTTTGTAGAGAAATCACCATAACTCCAGTTTTCCCTTGAGAAAAATATTACAAGTTCCCCTTTCTTACAAACCCTTTGTTGTTACATGTGTTGTAATTTCTCTGCATGGAACATGTGTATATATCTAATTTTGTGTATGATGTAGCATTTTAAAACTGAGAACTAAGCATATTTGACATTCTTTTTCCATTCAGCTATTCAGTTACGTCAGTGAAATATTGGTTTCATATCATGGATATAACAATGCCCATAATATGAGAAACAAATCTTTCTTCCAAGCATTCATTACAGTATAGAAGTCAATTGATTTGTTTTTTATGGCTTAACTCTTAGTAAGTTATTTAAAGCCAGAAAATAATTTTAGAAGGTAAGAATTTTTTTGTTTAGAAAATGATTTAGTGATAAGTCTTACAGTGGAGGAAGAAGTGGTGAATTCATTCTTCTCTCAAGCATATTTGCAGGTAAATAAATATAACAAACCCAACTGGAATTGGAACTGCTCTCCAATTAACAATTCTGAGCCATTATCTGTTACATCTAAACTTATAACACCTGGTATTCCCAAGCATTCACCCATCAAGGTACTGAACTGGCTTGGCTTTGCTTAACTACAGTGATCATACAGGAACCAGGGTTTCAACATGATATGGACATAAGCCCTAACAGTATAAAATTCGTGACCATGGCAGGATGTATACTTGAATTGTAAGTTGCAGTATAAACTACAGGTGGGTTTTGTGGGTGTTGAAGGAACACAAATGGACATGAAAAACAAGCATATTCAGAAATAAGCAGCCATGCTGGAGATGAAAAATCTCAGGTTCACAGTGTGCCTTCAAGTTGAAACAGCTCTGATAATGATTTATTGAAATTTATTACATTTTACAATCACTGGTTAATATATAAATCTACAATGAAGCCCACTCAGTTTTTTAGACTAGACAAATAATCCTATGTTGTATATTTCCATTTGTAGTGTGCACAAAAACTAGGAAAGATCCATTCATGTTCACAAGGAAAATGAAAGGTTAAATGAATGACTTGATAAGAAATGAAAATTAATCCTTTTTCTAATATATATGGTTTAGAGTTTTCCTTGCATGGTTGGGTGGGGGAGTGAGGTGCCAGTTCACACAATTGATGCTTCTATCATAACAAGCTATAGATCATCTTTTCCCTTCAACCAGTGGGGGGAAAAAAAAAACTTGCCCCTCTGCTAATCTATATCACTATGTGTGGCATTGGAACTACTTTGACAGAGTGTGAACTCACCAATAGGCAGTCCGTAAGTACCTTCCATCCAAACTGTATCTGTTTATATAAACCTGTTAATGGAAATTTCTAACTCCCTATCAAGTAGCACTTGACTCCAAATGTTTTCATTTATTTTATCTCATATTGGTTAAGTGGCTACTTTGGAGACCTCACTTCACACACTCCACTGCTAGTCATAAAAACACAAACTATTTAATACTGACAAGATAATTTACTATCATCTTCTGTGGTATCACAAACAGTATAGATTGAAAGAAAAAAAAAATTAATTAAAAAAGCCTGCTGAAATTTAAACTCATTACTTCTTCCACAAAGACAGTCTTAAAGCAATCATTTTTGCCAAACAAGTTACAGATGCTGACTGGCTGCAAAAGTTCAAATCTCACAACAGCTTCCCCAGCAAACCTGAATGCCAAATTCACAACCATTTTTCATGCGTGTTGGTTTTTATAATTTTTTATATAGTCATTCATAGCCTTTAATAAATTCACTCTGAACAATCTCCTCACAGATGATGAGGCTTGAGGCAACAGAAATGCAGTCCTACAGAAGGATGCGTGTAGTGAAGTTTTAGAGAAAATGGAAATGAAAAGGAAACTTACAATCAAAAAATGAGAGCTGAAATTTTCAGGGCACATAAGGCTTAGAAAATTTGACACTCACAGGATATATTGAAGGCAAGATGGAAAGAAGAACAATGCATAACCTACATAACAAGCTTGGCAGAACAGGGATTAGGAGAGATAAAGATACAAACTTTACTAAAAGCAAAAAAGTACAAGAAATTATGGGAAGCCATGATCACCTACATCCTGAAGGGACACAGTATATAGAAGAATACAGAGTTTCAGAAATAAAAAAAAACTTGAGCCTGAATCTCACCATAAGTTTAATTTCCAATCCAGGCTATTTACAAATGGACAGAGAATTATTAACTAATTTGCCATAAGAAGCAACTGAAATTAAGATGAAAAAGGAATTGAAAATGGTTAAGATTTCATCTAATAAATCAAGATAAAGAGTAGAAAAAAGTTAAAAAAATTAAATTTCAATGAAAGAAACTTAAAATTAATGGTTTGCAGATGCTTTATTTAATAAATTAAAATGTAAAAAAAAAAAAAAAAAAAAATCAGCTAAAATCTAGATCAAAAAATATATTCATCCACAATAATAGTTGATGCTTTACTATCTCAGTGGGTGTTAAGAAATATAACCCATAGGCCAGATCCAATCCAAAACAACTTCCAGTCTGGACTACAGCTAAATTCCAGACAATTATTTTTTCCATTTTAAAAAAATTCTGTTAAATATTTATATAAGTTTGGGTGTTTAACCTTTAAGAGTTAAAAAAACCATTTAAAAGCATGGGAACATAACGGCAGCAAAAGGTGACATGTGAACCTTAACTGCTAAGCAGTTTTTAAGACATTGAATAAATCTGCCATAAACAATTCCTATTTAATTCTTTACTCTTGTCACTGATAACTTTCTGCTTTCACGAAAGGTAAGTCCTGTTTTATAATTTATTTTATTTGAAGTATTTTTAATTAGCTAAAACAATAGTGCCAAATCAAAGAAAGGAAATTGTGGAAAAATAATTCTATAAATATATTTATAAATAAATTCTTTTTTATGTGCCATATCCTTTCATGACATATGGATCATAAATTACCAAACTGGATTCAAAACTATATACACAGCATTTACAGTATCAGATTTTTTATGCCAAAAAAAAAAATTAAAAAATAAAAATAAAAAAATAAAAAAATAAATAAAAAAGTTTACAACAAAAGGCTAATGAAAATAAATTTAATGATTTTTGTTGTAAGATTAACAAAAATTGTGAAAACTCAATCAGTAATCAAGAATGATGCTGCAATTCAAACTAGATATGAAATTCCAAATTAAACAGGCATTTTATCAAAGCCCCTTTTCGAAAGATAAAATGATGAAAATGAAGGACTATGGTTTCAGAGATAAGTTATTCTGAAAAACAATTATTTTCATGTTATCAATAAAGACAATTACATAACCTACTCTGTGTGTGTCTCCCTCCAAGCTGATTGAGTTCTCTAAGTGACTGGTGTGTTATAAAAATAAAAACGCAAAAAATTTGTCTCTGTCAGGTGTCAATGACCCAGGGGTTAGAATCTGACGGATACCAAATTAGTTGGGTTTCAGTCCTGGCCAAAAGCGATCAGCTGTCTGTGATACAGCTAAACAGTTTCTGTGGATGACTGTATTAGCTCTCAATAAAATAATTTAATTGATCCAGAATTGTATGGAGTAAAGAGTTAATTCACTACTACTGCTGATAATGCAAGGCTCTCCAAGCTGATTGAGTTCCTTAAGTGACTGGTGTGTTTATGAAAAATAGATACACACAAATTCACCTTTCACTTTGCTGGGCGTTGATGGCCTAGGGGTTAGAATCTCCAACTGATAGCAAATCGGTTAGGTTTCAGTCCCAGCCTGAAGCGTTCAGATGCCTAGCAAAACAGCGTCTGATGATTATATATATATATGTGAACTTACTCATTTCCCTAGCATCAGGCTTCTCTACTTATTTCTTACCTCTGCTCTTGCTGAGCTTCACAACACTGCCCTCTTGGTAACTGTGGTAGCTATTGATATTCCATTCAAATCATCCATTAAAACAGGAACTCCCTATTCACAAACAAGACTTGCATGAGGTGATACTGATTAGAAAATCTTAGAAACCTTGTAAAGAAATATACAACTCCAGTGGACAAAAACAAGAAAATTAAATTAATTATCAACTACAAAAAAAATTTAAAACTGCTGACCTCATTGTCAACAATAACTCATGTACAAGATCTAAATTATGGAGAACCAACATTATTTATGAATTCACATCTGTTGCGGATCAATCCAAATTCATAAATAATTGGATCTACAACACGCCCCACAAGACTAGTGTTACATCATATTGTTTGGACTCTTGTTATCATTCACGACATTTCAACCATTGTATGCTCCAGGTGATATACATTGGAATTTCAAGCTGATTGTTCTAATTACCTGAGGGAGGCTAGAGCATACAATGGCCAAAACGCCATGAATATGACAAAGATGAGGACAACAGCCCAAACAATGTAAATAGTGTAAATATTTACAATATCTCATCTCAGATGTTAAACAGAAGATATTTCAATATTCGGTTAAGTCCACAGGTAAAAGTGGAAACAGATGGTGACTGACCACAGATGAATGCTCACAAATGGTAGGCATTGATCAAGGTGTCATACCAAGATTAAAATCAAAGTTTCAGGCTATAAATAAAGATTATCATCTCCACATAGTACATTGCATAATACAGTGTTATACTGCAAAGCTCTTGATATGGACTGTGTCATTGCTATCATGGCCACATCATGAGTGCCATAACCCATTGGAATTAGAGGAGGTACTACAGCTATAGCAGTAGTTCTGCATCTTGGGCAAGAGAGCCAGATAGAGTCAATCTCACTTCAGGTTGATTTTGAATTCAGAATTTACAGTCTCCTTGACTGGTTGCCACTCCAAGGCAAGAAAGCCCAGTCGGTACCTGCTATTTATCTAAAGCTGGAAAAAAGTGGATTCATGCCTTTTCTGCCTGTATTAGTTCAAAGTAAGCATAACAGAATTAACGAGAATTTACATTTGGTTTACCAATTATATTTTTCACACATAACTGTTAAACAATCCATCCTATCATGTTAAAACTTTATACGTATAAAGCTTAAAAGAAAGAAAGAGGCTATTTTGCCAGTCCTGGTAAACTAGACCAACATACTTTTAAGCATATCAGTTTCAGTAAAATAGAACCCCCTCCCAGCCATTTTGCTGGTAAATATTTTCATTATTATAAAAGGCAGGTAATGTTAAAAATAACAGATTTGACACACAAGTTTATTTTCACCATCAACTGCCAAGACAATTTAAAATCTTTTCCACCATCAATTATTAGAACAAGTTAAAATCATTTATGAATTATTAAAAGAAATATAGAAGTTTGAATATTTTAAACACATCAGGCATAACACAGCAAATCAAAAATTTGCCCTTGGGCATGGTTCTCTTGCCAATACACTTCATGTGCACTCACTGAAGACAACAATCACAGAATCAATGTTGTTTAAGTCCTGCCTACACAACCACTGTGCTGACAATCTCAAATATATTAGTTCTAAGATACTATATTTTACAGCAAAACAGCCTTAGTGCCTTTTAATGGGACTGGCAAAACAGCATATTTCTAAAATCAATGACAATTTGAAACAATCTTATAAAATAGTTACATTTATTAGTTAAGAAAAAAATGAGGGTTTTTTTTGTTTTTTTTAATAAAGTATTTTTTCACTCCTTTCATGTTTGCAT